GAAAGAACCTACATAGAACTACATAGACCCCATATAGAACCTACATAGAACCTTTATAGAACCCTGCTCGAATCCATCCTGCAGCAACATCCGCCCAACGAAAGGGCTCCGAGGTCTACACGGGGTTACAGGAGTTTAGGGTTTAGGGTTTATACGGTCTAAAGCCCCTAGCCGTGGCACCAAAGCCCCGAACTTACGATTTTGTCGTTCCTAGGGCGAAAGTACTCCAAGCCTTCGCACTTAAAGAATCATCGTGTCAGCACGCGAATAATGAAGGCATCAGTTGGCTCGATAAGCCCTTGTAACCCTTATGAACTTTCATGAAACTCCGGTAAGATTCCTCAACCCCTTGACCGTTCCCCCTCAACCCTTAACCCGCAAATGCCAACCCCTGACAGGATCTCTTGAAACACAAAAAGTGTTAAACAAATAAAGAAAGGAAGCCGGAAGCCCGATGCTGCTCTAAGCCCACGTGACTTCTAGGCGAGAATACAAACTCTTTTTGGACTCTAGGTCCTGCGCATCAAAACCGGGAAATTGCCCCAGACCCTAAGACCATTTAGGGGAAGCATGACACCCCTGCACATGCTTGGGGTTCAAGTTTTAGGGCCGGAACCCCAAAACCGCAAGCCTTAACCCTAGTAGGGTCGCAGGGTTTTTCAACAGGGATTCTACAAGAACGCTTCTTCTAATGGTTCTCTGGGGCTTGTCACCAGCCTTTAAAGCAGGCAGCCATGAGGTCAACTGCAATTTGGATCACCTCTGCGTCATTGACGGATCAAAACCCTAGAAGATTTTGGGTTTGAAAGGGTTCAGTGTTTAGAGATTGGGGGCATGTGATTGCCATCATCTTCATCTGGGCCAGTACTTGTCTTATCTGCCGAGCACTCACCTTTACAAAAGCTTCCCTGAACCCTAAACCCTAAACCCTAAACCCTAAACCCTAAACCCTAAACCCTAAACCCTTTTGTTCAGCAACCCCTGAAACCTTAAGTCCTCATGCCTGTTCCGGCTCTGCTTGCCCCGTCCCGGGTTTGAAAGCTTCATCAAAGTTTTATGAAGCCGTTCACGGTTTAGGGTTTAGGGTTTAGGGCTTCCTTAGATTCGATGACGAATTTAGATGTTTGGGGCTTAAGCTTTTGTGGTGTTCAGGGCTTCAAGCTGTGAAGTTTGGGAGTCAAGCCTTATAGGACTTAGGGCTCCATCGGATGCCGTTTGTGAGGCCTGGGAGTTTCGGAATCCTATTCAAACCGTCCAAAGAAACCCTGAGCCCTGAAACCGGAACCACAAGGACCTACACCGTAAATTCATAGGGACCCTGAGAAGAGTAGGGCGGGGGGAAGGGGGCTGTAATAGCCCTAATAAGCTAGGGCTTGATAAGGGTCTAATAAAGCCTATTTAAGAAAGTATGTCACCCTCGCCCCCTCCCCTTCGCCCCCTAAGGATCCCTGTGACAATTTGAAAACGCTCACGCAGTAAATCCAAACCCCTAAATTTGCGGCTGGGAACCTCATCTTGGAGGCGTCCCCCCAGCTGCAGTTCGACTGCATCAATGGCAAGCCTGACGCATGCCCAACAAGGACCTTTCGACCTCTTCGCTCTCGAATTGTATACAGAAGGTGGTATAATGATCTTCAGGGTTTAGGGTTTAGGGTTGGGATAATGATCTTCAGTTGGATCTTGAGAGGTTTTCAAAAGGTTTGTATACCCCTGACATGGGGGCATGCCGATAAACCCAAATCCAAGTTCAAAGGAACTCATGCTTCCATTAGACGGTGTTGGACTCTCTTTTGCAGGGGGCGGGCTTTATCGTAGTACAGTACTGTTATATTGGGGAAGCCTAAGAAATAATGTTGGCAATTTTTTGGGCGCCATACTGATGAAACATCGGAGTTCCAGAAACTCTGGTTAACCCTAAACCCCTAAACCCTAAAACCCTGAAAACTCTAAACCATCATTTGAATGTTTGCAAACAAGTCTCCTCGGCCTAAAGACGCCTATACCCGACACTCCAACCCCCGATCTCGAACCCTAAAGCTTCACCATTCACGCGAAGACTCTACTTAAAGGATCATGGTAACTAGGGTGATATTTAGGGTAACTGTGCTTATAACTACCTGTAGGCTTATACCTTGTACCTTTTTTTGGTTTCGAGGCCATAACCAAGAATTCTTTGACACGTGATTTTTGGGCTCCTGAACTTCTCCTCAGCAAGTAGCTTGAAACACTGTAACCCAATGAAACTCAAAGTCAACCATGACAAGCTGTCCCAAAGCTCGGATAGACCCTGTAGACCCTCTGAAGTTGGCCCAATGTTGCTAAACCCCATAACCCAATGTAAACCCCATAAATAAATGCAGCAGAGCCCTGCCAATCCGATCGACCTCCAGCTTTGTGGCATGGCACTCTGCTCGGACTGCTTGCGATTGGTGGTGGTGGCAGCTCGGACAAATCTATGTACACATACAAATATGTAGCTCAAGTAAGTTTGAACGATTCAAGCTAAACCAACACATAACTGTGGTTTGATGCTCATGGATGCTGCTATCACCTACTTGCCACTGCTGCCAGCCCATGCCTTCTTCAACTCTACTTTGTACATTTGAAGCCTCCTCAGGCAGGAACTGCTGGAATGTAAAGTTCTCATGGGCCGACTCATTATCCCGATGAAGTCCTCACCATCAGGTGTTGCCCAGACTGCTGGATTGACATGATGCACGATTTCAGGGTGTTCAAGACTGCCACGCATTTGCAATACCAGGTGCTTCAGAAAATGCAGCTTTGGCACAAGAACAAAATGACACAGCCGTTCTTGATATGACCATTGAGCCAGGAGGACATATGCTCGAACAAACGAGTCCAAGCTTCTGACAGCAATTGCAGCTTCAGAACACGTGAGCCAACGCCTATCCTTGGCAGTCCAGCAAGTCCTGTAGAAATCATTGTACCATCCAGCCGCCTGCAGCATGGTGAGCAGAACACCATCTTCATCAAAAGCCCATGGCAAATTGAGATAATACTCCAGGAACTTCATGATGAGTATGGAATCACTCGCTTTGAATGAGGAGTCCGGATAACCTGTTTCCTTTGCATGAAAATTTGCTTTGGTGAATTCTTTGACCAAAGGCGTTGCCCCGATCAGTCGGCAAAAAGCCCGGAAATCCCCATAAGCTTTGGCAAGTTGCAGATCTAATGACCATTTTCCATCATCTGCAGGAAAATGCCCGAAGCGCTGGCACAATAGTACCAACACAGAACAGTAGAAGTGGCGAGCCACACCCAGGTGGCCCAAATGGAATATGTCATGTCGGGCCTTGTCTACACCTGCCATGCCAGGAATCTGACACATACTTGACGTGAGGGACCATGGAGGAGGCACCTCATCCATGACCCAGGCAGGATCATCCCCGACATCTCCCAAATCTTCATTCGTTGCCATACAGAAAGGGCAGCAAAGTTTACTCTGAAAGTTACGTGATTGCTTCCAGACCTTGGCCTGGAAAGGCAAGTCACCAACAGTGCCTACAAACGCAAAGTAGAGAGTGCGCCCTTTGTCCACCGTCACTCCTGACAGGAGGCATCATGCCTAGAGTAAGGTCGGTCAACCCTATATAAGCCCTCTAAACCCTGAGACCTATACAAACTCGAAATAAGAACTACAGAACATCTAATTGCATCCCATGCAACATGTTAGGCTGTTTAAGGCTTGACATTTCCACAGGGGCAAGGGTGAAGGCATATAGATGCAAGCCAAAGCCAGCCTTGTTCGAAAAGTCGGGTAGCCTCCAGCACATAGTGCTCCAGAACAGCATCCAAGCATTCATTCTTCTCGGCCCAGCCTTTCTGGAATCCTCTGTAGCACTCGTGTGGAACGACTGTGTAGAGGAGGTAGCGGAACATGCTGTTTTGTCTGCAGTTCAGTAGCACTTTGGTGGACAGAACATAAACAGGATGCTTGCGCTTCCCCGTGCCCTCATCCCCATAGCATACGAGTGGCACCGTATCCGACAGGGGTCGGTTTCCAAATACCACATGGCCTGGATCATGTTTTTGATAACGCAGCCAGTACTGAGACAGAACCGTTCTGGATTCTTCAGTATTCACATCATAGCCACCCAGAAAATACTTGGAATGGCCTGTCTTGATCATATATACAATAAACTTTTCCAGTGAGAACACCGGATGCTGACAGAGACCTCGGTCAAAGTAGGGGACGGCAATCTTGTCGATGGGTATCTGGACTCCATAGCCAGCACGCAGCAGATTCCGAGTTAAACTTTCCAGGTGGTTCCCTTTGCTGGAATCAGCAGCACGTGCTAAACGTTTCAATTCCCAGGTTTCTTGTTGTCGATCTAGGCCAGCAGCAGTAGCCCCACGTTTGACACCTGTTTTGGCTAGGCCAACCGCCTTGGTAGCATTGCCAACCTGGGATAGCACTTCTATATGAACAGAGGGCGGTCAGACGAAAAAACCATAGAGCAGAGTCCTGCATGATGCATTCAAGGGGCACAATAGAGCTGGACAACTTCATCGACAAGGTCACGGCCACCTGGCATGATTCAGACTGCTCGAGGGTCGAGGTGCACAAGCTTCCTATATCAAGTGAAATCAGAAATCTGCACAACATCATTTGGACATGTTGCAGGTGCAACTAGTTCGTTTTGCATCACAGCCGCAGAGATATCTGCGAAGCTTCATCATGATTTGAGGCCCCAAAGCTTTCTTCAAAAGTATTAGAGCCAGCATCAGAGAAGCCGACAGCCCACTGGGCTGGTGTGAACCCTGCTCATCAGATCAGACGAACATAGCACACTGTATTGAGAGCAATATGTTGACTCCAAGCGTCTGCAAAAGCCCAAACTTCATGTATAACAGATTATAGAGGGATAGGGTTGCTGATCACAGAGCATGCCACTGGTGGCCCCTCACACAAGCACATCAGCAGGGTCTAAGTCGACTCAGCATCCACCGGCTACTGCAGACTCCGCGCGAGTCTGGACTCAAGATGCTTCCTCAGGCTTAGCAGTAGCTTTCTTCTTGGCAGCCGTGCGCTTCTTGAAGAACGTCCTCAGATGTTGCAAAACCTACCCGAAGACAAGGGAAGAGAGAGAGAGACAGAGAGAGAGAGAGAGAGAGAGAGACAGAGAGAGAGGGAGTGAGAGCGAAAGTGAGAGTGAGAGTGAGAGGCAGAGTGAGGGCGAGACTGAGAGTGAGAGTGAGAGTGAGAGTGTCAGTGAGTGAGCAGGTCAGTGAGTGAGTGAGTGAGAAAACGAGTGAGTGAGGAGAGTGAAGCAAGTGAAGTGAGTGAGTGAAAGTGGGTGTCATTGAGAACTGGGTTCATATGCTGTCCGAGGAGCTTCAGAATCGCTGCCTGGTTGTCAAAACTGAGGCACCTAAGAGCCACGAAAGTCCCCAACATGCATTCGGTTGAACACCCGAGGAGTGCACGCCCCCTCCATGGTCTCGCAAAGGATCTTGTAGCTGTCGGGCCTTATAGCGAGGCCCACTCAAAGGACCCACTTGGCATGCATTGCTGCCTAGGTGCTTTTTCTTCTCAGCGCTCGTCTCCGTGGCACAGATCTTGTTGTACGATGTCATGATTTGATCTGGCAGCCAGTCAGAAACAAAGGAAAGCATGAGTAGGCACCGACCAGCACCCAAGCGGCCTAGGCTTGTCTTGAGGACGCCAAGGTCTGTCCTGAGCAGCAAAGTTGGGACTTTCAGGGGGTACATATAGGGTGTTTAATTTCAAGCAGGTCAGAACAGCTTGGGGAGTCTGGATTATCTTGTTCTTTGTAAAAAATGGGTATATTAGCTTGCGACACAGGCTGCACCTGTATCTGCCCAACCCTCATCAATTAAGCCATTCCTTAAGAGTACCCTCTAGGGCACTTATGTTATCTGGCAGACCCGATTATACAGCTAGCTATTTTATAGGATCCTTAAGGGAGGGTGGTTCAAGGGGGGAGGGTATAAGGAATCCTTAGGGGACTGTACGGGAACCTTAGGGAGTACTAGGGAGAATTAGGGATCACTAGGCTATATACCCCCCTTGGACCCCCCTCCCTTAAGGATACTACAACTATTGGACCCTATAACAGCACGAAACCCTCCCCCCGAGACCTGAAACCGAAGCTAAAATATTAACAAGACATATGACGAGAGAAGCAGCAGACAACCTTCAGAGGGTATTTTCAGGAAGCTTGGGAGGGTCCGAGGCTGCCATAAGGCTGCATGGATGGAAAACAAAGCTCAGCACACACACACACACACACACACACACACACAGAGACACACACACACACACACACACCCACCCGAGACACACATCCCATGATCTCCTAAACACACAGTGGCAGCATAGCACATGCATCTGCCGAAATAGCTTTGCAGCATGAGTCCCTGCAGCCAAGCATCTCATGGCCCTTGCTCTCATCCTCCTTCAAGCGACCCTCCACACTTGTGTAGACACCCCGACGCTTGAGAGCAGCATCCTTGAACTTTTTCACACGGGCTCCCAACGTAGCCACATCCTGGGTGATCTCAGGGAACTCCGGGAGCTTAAGCTTGGATGCAGCCTCATCCTCCGGCGGCATCTCGGTGGCATTCGGCTCGTGAAGCGAGAAGGCGAAGCCGTCTTCGAACCCATTGCCGGATATGGCTGCCAGTTCTTCTTCGAGCTTTAATCGAAGCAGCACTTCGTCATCTACGCGGTCCTCTAACTCGACCAAGAACTTCAGTTCGGCTGAGTATTTGCACCGCCTGATCCGATTAGCCAGAACCCCATCTCAAATCATTATTGCACATGAGGGATTGGATCAAAGAACCAGGTCAGGATTCCTATGATTGCACATGAGGGATTGGATCAAAGAACCAGCTCAGGTTTCCTATGATAGGCTATGCATTGTGCACAGGCAATCACAGGATTAAGGTCATATCAAATCAGAGGTGCTTGGTCAACCGCATCTTCTGGCAATATGCCATGGCCCCCTTCACCTTCGTCCTGATCAGCATGGAAAATTATCATGAAGAAGATACCAGACTAAGATTGTTACTACGACCGGCACAAAGCAAACTGAATCATACATATATTCCGCTTTCCTATATATATACATATGTTAATAAAAACCTGCCTTCCCAATGTAAACCAGGACTCTCATCCCAGCCCAGCTTTATCATCTCCTTTTCTGTGAGCCAACCTCTGATGAGGTTGCTCTTCTGGCTCTTCTCCTTCTCGCGCTTGAACTTGACCAGGGTCTCGAGCCGCCCCTTGGAAGCTGCAATCCACATAACACCCCGGTGCAAGCTTCAAGTGCCAAGATAGGGCTTGTGGTGCACATTGGTTTTTTTGTTGGATTAGGGTCCTATATAGGGTTGCAAGGCTTTAGGTTTCAAGTCTTGCTCATGTGGTTTAGGGCTTCATAAATCGAATCCAAATGATTTTAGGGTTTGCAGTTGCAGGTTTTAAAGGGTTAAGGTACACAGACTATGAGCAGTAACACAAATGGGTGATTGAGTGAGCGCATGTATGAGCATGACCGATTGACTGAGTGGGTGACTGCATGAGTGCATGGGAACGAGGGAGGAGGGGGAGTGAGCAGGCCTAGCCGAGGTGCCAAAAAGGTTACTGAAGCACTGCTGCATATGTGAGAAAGTTATGACGGGTGACTCAGGGCAGGAAAGGTGGTACCATAAGGCGCACACGGCTGTGAGAGCAATGAAGCAGAAGACAATAAAAGGAAGTGCAAGTCATGGGTGAATCAGTGAGTGACTGTGTGTATGTATATAGCACACCTAGCACAAGGTACTCATCCCCATAACACCAAGTGAGCGAGCGAGTGAGCAAGCCAGAGAGACAGAGGGAGAGAGAAAGAGAGACAGAGAGAGAAAGGGAGAGTGTAGAATGGCCTTGTTCCCTTCGTAGTCCTGGGGCTTGTAGCACTTCGTCACAAAGTCACGCAGCAGCTCTTGCTTGTCAGCACCACCTGAGCTAAGCCCAGAAGCAATCCAGTGCAGTACAACATGGTTCACACAGAGCCGATGACAGTGATCTAACGACAGGTAGCCAACATGACACATGTCATCATATATAGATGGGTAACCTTTGTGCCACCTATCATAGATCTCCTGGTCACACTTCGCTTCTCCTTTGGAGTTTGGCATTGTCAAGCGGTACAGGTAGTTGTACTCCAATTTGTGCGTAGCGGAGTTGATTTTGATCTTGGCCAGGTTTTGGACACTTTCACAGAGGTTCTTCAGCTGCTGTGGGCTGAGCTCCTGCAACATGCACATGGCCAGCAAACACCAAAGGAGCGAATGAGGCAGTCAGCAAGGTAGGTGGGTGGATGGGTGTGTGCATGAGGGAGTGAGTGAGTGAGTGAGTGAGTGAGGGAAAGGGAGGGAGAGACGAGAGAGAGGGAGAGCCAGAGATAGAGAGAAAGAGATGGCCACAGAGAGAGAGAGAGAGAGAGAGAGAGAGAGAGAGAGAAAGATACTTTAGGGGTTATATAAGGTCTTAGGGTTTGTAATCGGTGACGGCTTAAAAAGGTTTATGTTTATATAGGGTTTAGAATGTAAGGTTTCGGGGTTTATGAATCGGGATTATAGGTTTGTAGGGTTTGTAGTTTCGGGTTTAATTCTCACTCCTTCTTTCTCCTTCACTCCCTCTCACTCTCTCTATATGTATATATGTCTCTCTCAACAGAAGCCCACTTTCTCACACATGTTCCACATAAACTAACAACTGCAGTGATCCTTCTCCTCATCTCCACCGGCGGGCTGCCCCACCATAGGCACAACAGGCTTGCCCGGGAGGTCTCTGGCATTGGCTGACTCATGAAGCAAAGCCAACTTCGACTGTGCAAGGACTTGGGAAGGCGAGGAAGCTGCTGTGGTCGAGGGGGAAGCCACCGCTGTCTCAGACCCGAGGCTGCCCGATGATTTGGCGCGCAAGAGAAGTTTGGCTTGCTCACTTTGTTGTTTCTTCCTTTCTGCAATCCGAGCTTTGAGAAGCTCCATCTCCTTCATGTCACGATCCTCCTCCAGCTGCATCTGCTGCATTGTCCCCAACGCCTTTGCATGCTCCTGGCTCTCCCTCAAAGCCTCCCCTTCCTGGACTTGCTTGGATTCCTCGTGGCGTGCTTTGGCTTCCATGGGAGTGCCCACATCATCAAGCTGAGTGTCTGTTGTGGACAGGAAAGCTTGCACATGCTGTTTCATTGCAGTCTTGCAAGCAGACTTGAAGGACTCGAAATCATGAGGAGGCGAGTCGCCCTGAAAAGCAGTGGAATCAGTAGTGATCTTCTGAGCCCAACACATGGCATTGGCCACCTTAGCAGCACTTAGCAGCCCAAAGGCTTCCACAAAGATGTCCTTTTGCAAATTGTTGACCTCAGCTTGCTGCCCAAGCCGATCGTCCTTGTGAAGCCTCCCCTTCTGAAGTTGCTCCTGTTGAAGCTGCTCACGTTCACGATGCTCCTTGTCAAGCCTCTCCTTCTGAAGTCGCTCCTGTTGAAGCTGCTCACGTTCACGATGCTCCTTGTCAAGCCTCTCCTTCTGAAGTCGCTCCTGTTCAAGCTGTTCCCGTTCTTGCTGCTCCTTCTGAAGCCTCTCCTTCTGAAGTCGCTCCTGTTCAAGCCGTTGACGTTCTTGCTGCTCCTTCTGAAGCCTCTCCTTCTGAAGTCGCTCCTGTTCAAGCCGTTCACGTTCTTGCTGCTCCTTCTGAAGTCGCTCTTCTTCGAGGCGTCGGGTTTCCCGCCTCTGAAGCTCAAGCCTTTCCTGCTCAAGCTGATCCAGCCTCTGACGTCTCTCTTCTTCGAAACGTGTTTTTTCTAGCTGGATCTCTTGCATTCGTCGTTTCTCGATCTCTCTCTGCTGCTGCAACTCTTGCTTGCTCAGACCAGTCTCCGATGGCAAGAGGGCCGGTGCAGTAACAAAAGCAGGCCTGCGATTATGCTCAAGCACACCTGCACTTGATAGACCATCTCGGATGGCATCATCAGCATCTCGCAGAACAGCTTTCTCTGTCTCGGCTAGATCAAAGTCATCAGTGAGATTACGAGAAACCCGGCTCGGCATCTCTGGCAGGCCAGCAAGCTCTCCATCGACAGCCTGCCGTTTGCAAGCTGCCGCTCGCGCTGCTGCATCATCATCGTCCAATTCACCTCGGCTGCACAGGGGGGACTTGGAATATTATTGTATCCTTCGATCCATTGTATATGTATCACATGATCGACTACTTTTGTGCATGGTTTGCTTCATGTTCCGGGTCTCAACCTATAGACATTGTAGGGGGCTGAAGCCATTTTCCGGGCCTAAGACATAAAGGTTATTGTCCGGGGGGGTTTCTGAAGACTATTTCGAGCCAGTGGTTGCTACAACATCGGGTCTTGCCAAGAAGCACATACCCTATCACCTTTCAGGATACCTATAGTTTTGTGGTTAGGATCTGTTACCTCAAAAAGTAGGCACCCTAAACAAGGGGTAGGGTATGAAACAAGAGGTAGGGTATGAGCCTCTAGGTACAAAAGATAGAACTAGCTCCGTGGCTTTTGGTAGGTATGCAGCCTGCAAAGGCAAATGAGGCCCCTATAGGTAAGCACGACCAAAAAACAACCCATGTTGCAGCCCCGGGGCAGCCTATCATGCTCAAATCTCCGATGCTGCCAGCTATGTATAACAGCACCTAAAACCTCAGAAAGAACTTCAAGCTCCGACCTTTTGTACGGTTAGGTAACATGTGGAACATTGCATAGTATGTGGGGTCCCTGTCACATGCACAAAAGCCCCCAACCATCCAACAAATAGACCTTGCCAGGCTCAATGCATTCACAGTATTTCAGGACAGTGTTTAGGGTTCAACAGACGATGAAGAGCTACCACACCGCCAAGTCTCGGCTTTCGGTCTGCATTGGGTACAGGTACATGTGAAAGGGCTTCAGGGGTGAAGATAGCTATACCGACAAGGTCATAATCTTTATTTGGGCATCTTGGTCAGGTGCTTCCATAAAAGAAACATATATCAATATAAACATAGGTCTAATAATACATATAGACAATATATATGTGTATATACACCTAGAAGTAACCTAAACATCCCATGGCGAAAAATCAAGAGCCTCCCGGAGTACTTGTTGCTCAGGAGTTCTATACAGGGTCAAGTAGTTCAATGTGGAGACACCATACACAGCATGCAACATCAGATGACCCAGGCCCTCAAAAGCTCCCTTTGCAAGGACACTACAGAACATCGCGGTCGATGTGTACGATGTGTACTCACCTGAAAGTAGATAGGCTAATGACCTCATGGGTGGGGCAGGTTGTTATAGGTGGGAGACTGCTTAAATAAGTAACACCAGCCATGTGCCCCAGCCCAGGAATCACTTCTGAAAGAACAAGTACCACCCGAACACATGGCTACAGACTGTTCCAAGGCGCTATATAATCAAGGGTGAACAATAACGAACCGTCCTGATAGTGATTCCTTCCTACATATACATATATATATATATAGGCTGTATAAATACAGATACATTCGTTTTAGTTTAATTAGCCCTATATATGTATATATATATATATATAAATTATGCATCTATGTATAGATATATATATATATATAGATACACATATGATTCTTATGAGTACAGCCATGAAGCCAAGCCAGACAGCAGATTGGAGTTTGTTAGCTGTACCTACAATTGGTTCCCACCTCTTAGTCTTTATCCACTGCATTGCAGATCACAGCGAGAGAAGTCCATCACCCCCTACCCCTACCCCTACATGCCTTAGCTTGGAAGAACCCCTGATTTAAAATACAGCACAATCTTGCTCGGCAGAAAGATTCCCTGACCAGTTCAAGTCCAGTGGCGCTTCACTCCAGGCTCACGTTTCGAACCAGCTAGTGACTGAACCAGGGCCCGGGAAGAAGGGGTGTTGGCCAAACTAGCAACAAGCTTTCTCGTATCTGGCGAGAACTGCATAGGGTCCATCCCCAGCTCTGCCAGAATCGGTGGCACTGCCCCGGAGGAGCCTTCATGCTTGACCTCAGTTACCGAACTTAGGCTGATAAAGCCAAAGGTCACCACTGACACCGACAGAGAGAGAGAGAGAGAGAGAGAGAGAGAGAGAGAGAGAGAGAGAGAGAGAGAGAGAGAGAGAGAGAGAGAGAGAGAGAGAGAGAGAGAGAGAGAGAGAGAGAGAGAGAGAGAGAGAGAGAGAGAGAGAGAGAGAGAGAGAGAGTGAGTGAGTGTGGGAGTGAGAGTGAGAGTGAGAGTGAGAGTGAGAGTGAGAGTGAGAGTGAGAGTGAGAGTGAGAGTGAGCAAGAGACAGCTTTATTGTCGGGTTAGGGTTTATAACAAGGTCTAGGGTTTTATGGCTAATAGGGTTGGAGGGATCCACTGAACCAAGCCTCGGCAGGCATGCCCGGCTGTGGCTGGCCAGCAAGAATCTGCAGACCGGCTTGCAGTGTGTTGCAGCTCCAGGCTTTGCTCACACCCTTAAGGTCCATGTAGGGGCCGAACCCTCAGCAGCCAAATGCTGCTGTATTCACTGGACACAGTCAGCATCGTCTGTTCCGTTTTCAAAGGACACATGTGCAAAGCATTGACACACACAAACACGCCAGCATGACTGCTACTGGCTGGCACACAGGCGATGTCATTCAAACCTGCACAAGGCATTCCCAAAGTGCAGGAAAGAAGCACACCAGACTCGTCACGTGATTTTTTTCACGTGAAAATCTCGCCCCAGCAGGCATCAGGCACCCTCAAAATTGTTCACGCGAGATCTCGCGTATTCACGCGAGTTCCTGCGCATTTCACGCGATTTTCACGCGACAGCTCGGGCTGAGAAAGTCCCACCCCCAACAAACTTCACGCGACAAGGTAGCTACAGCCATTACACGGGATTGTTCACGGGATTTTCACGGGATTTTCACGGGATTTTCACGGGAGATTTCGGGCTGAGCAAGAACTACCCCAGCCAATCTTCACGGGACCATGCTGTTAGAGAGAGCTACAGCTTGACCCAAGCTAGCTACATTACCCACATATTATGGTGGTCAGTGTGGGCTCCAAACACCAAACTTCTATAGATTGTGTTGGGGGCAGGTCGGGTCATGTCAGGAATGTCTGCACCCAGCAGCACAGCAGGGTTGGAGCTTTCTGCACCCGCGAGGGGGGCCAGGCTTCTGTGGCTCCCACTATACCAGCATCGAATTTCATTCTGGGCACTATATCCACAGGACTTGGGGCTTCGGGTTGCTGAACAGGAGAAGCTTCTGAGTGGATGTGGGTTTGGCTCGTTTCTAGCCACCACTTTAAAGTAATAGTGTAGAAGTAGTACTAGTAGTAGTAGTAGTAGTAGTAGTAGTAGTAGTAGTAGTAGTAGTAGTAGTAGTAGTAGTAGTAGTAGTAGTGGTAGTAGTATAGTATATAGTATAGTAGCTGTAGAAGAAGTAGTCATGGTAGTATAGTAGTAGTAGTAGTAGTAGTAGTAGTAGTAGTAGTAGTAGTAGTAGTAGTAGTAGTAGTAGTAGTAGGTAGTAGTAGTAGTAGTAGTAGGTAGTAGTAGTAGTAGTAGTAGTAGTAGTAGTAGTAGTAGTAGTAGTAGTAGTAGTAGTAGTAGTAGTAGTAGTAGTAGTAGTAGTAGTAGTAGTAGTAGTAGTAGTAGTAGTAGTAGTAGCAGCTATAGAGTATAGTATATACAGTATATAGTATATATAGTACATAGTATAGAACATTATATTTCTATATGGTATATCGTATATAGTATGATACAGTACATAGCAGTATATAGTAGTAGTAGTAGTAGTAGTAGTAGTAGTAGTAGTAGTAGTAGTAGTAGTAGTAGTAGTAGTAGTAGTAGGAGTAATAGTAGTAGTAGCAGCAGCAGCAGTAGTCCTAGCAGAAGTGGTAGATATAGCAGTACCAGTACCATGGTAGTAGTAATAATAGGACTATAATAGTATAGTTCTATTGTTGTAGATCTGCTGGATACATCCAGTCTCAAAAATAAACTCTATAGATGCCACTCCACAACCCCAAACCCCACAGACCCATAATCCAACTCCAAACCCTAAAGCCCCCCCAAAACCCTAAACCACAAATTCCTAGCTGAGCCCAGGGCACACAAGTCCACTTCCTTCATGGCAGAATCTATATACGACACCTGCCTGCATTTTGATAAACATTGGAGAATGGGATGACTTTTGGCCGAAGGTTTTGGGAATATTCAGGGTTACATACAGGTAGTTGAACAAGGTTATATTGTTCAAAGGCAACCGATCCCCAAAAGTTCCTTTATGCTCGAACCGGAATGAGCACCAAAAGCTCATATGATTGAGTTGGAATGCAAACGGTTCAGGGTCTGTAGAGTCTAGGGGTGTAGGGCTTATAATTCAGGGTTTATAAGGTCATAGGAACCCAGGCCGGCCTAAGACATGTTTGGATTCCTTTAAGAGTCCTTCCACAGCCTGTGCAAGGTAGGGTGCAAAGGATCGGTACAGGGGGGGTGCAACAACAACAACAGCAGCAAAAGCAACAGCATCAGCAACAGCAGCATCAGCATCAGCAGCAACAGCAACAGCAGCAACACAAGCAAGATCCAGGCAAGACCAGGACCCAGACCCAGATCAAGACCGAGACCAATACCAATACCAACACCAATTTGCACCCATGGGCCGAGGTGGGCAGAACGAGGAGGGATCTGGTAGGGGGAAAGGGCATAAGAACCTCAAAGCCATATTTACTTTCAACAGACAGGGCCGGACAAGTGGGAGCTGTTGGCTTAGTGTCGGCTACATGGAACCAGAAATCACGAGGGAACATCAATACCACCGACAACAACCAGAACCACAAACAACTGCTACAGCAACTACAAGAAAAAACAGCAACAAAACAACGACTGCTACTACATACAACTTCGACAACTTTAGAATGCAGGGGACAAAAACTGGAGCTGCATACCTGCTGTCGCCAGGCTACACTTACCAGTGCATCCTATATAGATGTTGAACCAGGAAGCAAGCAGACTACACAAGGTATGCACAGGTTGCATTTAAGCATCAGTTGATCGGACTCGAAGCCCCACGAGCAAGCTTTACACACAGCACCTAACAGGGAACCGGTAGTAAGCCCATGCCTTCTGAGGTATATAGCGCCGGAATGCCACTACAATATACCAGTCCACGGCTCAGTCCAGGGAAGATCTTGCTGATTGGCACCACATCAGCAAAGCCTGGGACAAACCAAAAGATGCCACATCACGACTGCCCCCGAACTAATAAGAGGCCCCACAGATAGACTTGATACCATTGCAAACATCCATACCGGTATCGGTTTGATCGAGACTAGCAGCTAAGTCTTCTGCCCTCCCCTCATATTAAGTCCTGCCCACTGAACCAGCACTCCTTCAGTACGTGGCTGTGTCCTTTTTATCTGTTAGGTCCGGCCTTTTGAGAGCAATCCGAGACATAGCATGTCCAGAACCTTGACTGAGTCTGTACTTAACGCCAAGAAGCATACACACACAGGATCCCCGTGGCACACCAGAAGACCTCAAGGCTCAAGTGAGGTTTTCAGTGAATTGCATCTTGATATCATTTGTTGCAAAACATTACAAGGTTTATGGGTTGATGGGTTCTGGGCTTATGAGTGCACATTGCATGGGCAGTTGCAAGACTGTGTGTTGCCTGGCTCTGAACCTTTGATGTCTGGCCTAGGCTTGTATAGAAAAGGTTTCCAGGTTCAGCAATATACTTTGGGGTGTTCAGGGATGAGGGCTTGCAACCAGATAAAGGGTCACACCTTCAGTTCTTTGGGCACTTAAGGGCAGCTATCTTGTGGGGTTCTTGATCAAATTAGCAGGCCAACCGAGTCAAGGAAGCCAATCTCCTGTATAGGCAGAATTTCCCACGACTCCCTACAGTGTAGATCATCTATCAGGCACACACCTTGCAGATGCTGGCCATGGTGCACTGCCTAAAACCCCACCCCCAGAGGATCAGCATAACTAAACAGGGACCCCATGCTGGCCTGGGCACAGGCCCTGGGCCAACGAAAGCACCCGAAAGAAGGCCCTATAAAAAGCATGTAATTGCATAACCCGAACCCCAGCAATCCCCAATTCTTTTCTCTATGACAACTATATTGTATATAGGGATGCAACCCAACTGCTCCCTCCTCTTAACAGAAACCAAAAAAATTGCCCAGGCCATGCGCTGCAGCCCTTCTGCCGAGTGGAGAGCCCCCGGCCTGTCTTCACTCCAGCACCGACGGCAGCACGTGGCGCCAAGCACAAGGAATCACCAGATGCTTGTTCCTGAGGAGTAAAGTCCCTAAAGAGGTCACTGCATGACAACACCCGACATACTAAATGCAATAAACTTAAAAGAATGAAACAGTCGATCGAAAGTATATGTGTATATAGTGAAGCAAAGCATTTCTTCTTCCTTCATGCAAGTAGCCCTCGTAAATACTGCACCACACGTGGAACATCACCATCCCACCAAGAATCATCCGAAGGCGATTGGGCATACAGCTGTTGCACAGACTGGATGTCATTTATGTCCTGCAGGCTGACATGGCACTATAGATCCTAAAGAGGCTCATGCCCTCCCCCTGTTTTATAAGGTATAGTTAGTTAGGATCTGCCATAGATACAGAAAGATAAATACCCTTAAGACAGGGGTGGGGTATGAGCCTCTGTGTATGTATACACAGTTTGCTTAACTTAGTCATACATATATATATATATATATATACATATGATTTTGTGGTAAATACCTATAGAGGCTCATACCCTACCGCTTCTTTAGGATATCTATGTGTTATGGTTAGGATTTGTTATCTTAAAAAGTAGGCACCCTAGAAAAGGGGTAGGGTATGAGCCTCTATAGGTACCTGTAGATATATTCAGTATAATTTGTGCTGGGATTCCCTCTACGATGCTGCAACTTTCTGGCTTCTGTATATGTTGTTATGTGTTAGTGGGAAATAAACACCTTTACATTCTATATACCCCATTCCTTTCATAGCTTGTGGGAGGTTTGCATAGGTCCCCTGAGGAGCCTTGCCAGCACACGTAGTGAGAAAAGCTATATAAATGTAAGTTGGGCTCGGGCCTTGAACAATCAAGCTACTCCCTCAGTAACATGAAACCCAGTAACCATCCACAGTTTGGACCCTATACAAATGCTGAGCTGCATGGGCCACAAGAGACACCACCACTTTACTTTGTATAGGGTTTAGGGAGTTTAGTTTAGTTTAGTTTAGGGTTGCCCTGTGTTCCCAGTCACCAAGGTAACCTGCGCACAGAGAGAGGGTCTGATTCTGGACACCATGTCGGGCAGCATCGATGCCAGCTTGTGCCCCAGAGCCATTGGATAGGACCTCAGCAGAATTGGGATTGCTTTCTTCAGGGGAAAGGCATGGCAACATTGACCCTACAACTCTGTTCGACCGAGTATAACATGTAACCAATATTGCACACCACATGAGTTAAGTCCAAGTAGCTGGGAGGTACGGAGAGCTTTCGGGATGCCAGTATATCGTGATTTACCAGTCCGGGGACAAACCTTTCGTGTTACCAACGACACCGCTCCTTGCCGAAGCTCCTGCACAGAAGCATGTGGATAAACCTTCATGTAGTGACAACTTCTTACCTATAGAGACTCATACCCTACCCCTTTTTTTGGTGTATCTATTTTTCTATATAGCAGATCCTATAAGCATATAAACTATAGGTATCCTATAAAAAAGGGGTAGGGTATGACCCTCTATAGGTACACACCTGCCTGTAGGCTCATGCCCCACACCCTTTTAAGGGTGTCTACTTTCCTATATATACAAAAGACCCTATAAAACTAAGTATGCTAAAAAGGGGCAGGGTATGAGCCTACAGAAATTATGACATGAGTGCACTGTGATACTCCTTGGCACACACCTTTGCGAGGGTCAGGTCATATATTGCATAGGAATTGGACCAGAATAGCGTTCGCTTCATTGCCACATGACCATATGCCCTCATCCAAACAGAGACCCTGCAAAGAGGACAGCATTTCATTTGAAAATCAAGAAACCGTGGCAGAGATCCCATCGTACTCCCCCCGGGTTGCTCAACTATGTATGCAATGTCCAGCGCCTGGCAAAGCCACATTAGCAGCACTACTCGGACGGCAATCAAATTCCCGTTCTTCACCCATATTTTCGAATCATCACCCAGAGGATTGGCTGCTGTACGTTTGGATTGGTGCCTGCTCATTCCAGAAAAGCTGCTGCAAACTGGAGCAAATATCGCAAGACTTCCAGGAGCCATGCGCAGCAGCGCAACGATACACAGAGCATAGCCAGCATCTGTCGTTAGATCTAAACTAGCAGAATAACGGACATCAATTGACAGCCCTGGAAATCCCGCCAGCCGTAGTGCATACGAGACATTGGAATCACCAGCGAAGAACTCCACGAAGCGATAGTCCTCGGGTGCAAGACAGAACCCCATGCAACCGAAAGCCCAAAAAGAGCAGTTCCTCAGGCACTGATCGAAAGCCACGATTCACGCTGCAGGTTAATGTCCCCAGACCAGAAGATGAACAAAACCAGGAGGAACAACACCTCGGCCCATGCAGTATTACCAACTGAGACTATGAAGGCTGTGTACAATCTCCTTCTCCAGAAACAGTGCAGAATCAACCCGAGGCACTCGTGGCGCCCTGACTACATGCAGCCTGAGAAGAAGTGCTTCCAAGGACCATGGTTGGGCCATGGCTGCAGTCTTTATCCCAAGGTACAGCCCACACAAGCAGGCCCTCCCATATATACCTAGAGGCTCATACCCTACCCCTTTTTGAGGGCACCGGCTTTTTAAGCTAACAGACCCTAACCATAAAACTATAGGTATCCTAAAAAAGGGGTAGGGTATGAGCCTTTGGGTATCAGCAAGAGCATATTGGAATTCTTGCCCAGAGCTTCAAAGCAATCCACACATCGGTTGGCACATATACCTGCATACAGGTTGAAAGTGCTATGACGTGTGTATAAGTGCAAACTATATCATTCATGAGCCAATATATTAAACACACACACACACACACACACACACATGCAAGGACCCGAGTCTCTTTCCAACATACCCCCGACGATAAGTTGAGATTGGGAATACAGGGAATAGCCCCTCTATAGAGTCAGCTAACATATACTAGTCAGTTCTACCAATAAGACCTCAGAATTGAGCCCATGCAGAAAGATTGCCCACACATCCAGATAGACCTTGGAAGATTCTTCTATAGGGTGGCGGTCCGGAAAGACAGTTGAACAGTTATGGGGTTGAAGGTGCAGTGCCTACTTGAGCTAATCAGTTCATTAGATTTCACAAGCATCAGCATCACATGCACAGTCCAGCAAAGTAGGGTGCAAGCACACTGCATGTGTCTTCAAGCAAAGCTGGCAAGGCATTGGGTCACACCTCCAGAGAGTCGTATCGACGACCGCGGCATTGCAGCATCCTATCACGGCCTGGGCCAGGCAGGGAAATCAAATCAAAGCACTGATGCACAGTTGGGGATGGCTGACACCGCATGCACACTTGGAAGCATAGTCCTTTTATCGATTCGTGGGCACCTAGAGACCGGCCGAAAGTGCCTGGGTCATCTTTGAACAAAGATCACTCACACATCGTTTCTACGAAACGAGTGTGTGAGGGGAGGGAAGCCACACATCAGGCGGATCAGACAGCTCTGACGCAGCATCTACTATATGTAAGGCATGCATGCACACAAAAGCAGCAGCGAGAGCGAGGCTCATAAAAATATGTGATTACATCAAGAATCAAACATCGTAGCCGGCCACCATGCATGTTTCTGTGTGCCATTTTATGTAACACAACTCATACTCCATGATGTACATACAACGACTTCTATCAGCACGCTGCTTCTTTTAATTTGGGTATGGCTCTTGACTCAAGCTAGCGTGCAACTTTGCACAGCATTCTCAGCAGCACACAGAGTGTCCCATGTCCTGTTTAAGTTTGCCGTAGGCATCACGGAAACCAGATGACAATGTGTTCCAATCGGGCCGGGACTGCAGCAACGAAACCTGAGCCGACCAGAGAGTGAGAGGATCACAGACACAGTCACACAACATGCACAGCGCAACAGTTTTGACCAGATCATGTTATTAAACAGCTCTATTAAATCTCGGGCCATGCCACTGTAGAATTGGCGATTTGGAGAGATTTTGCCATGCACTGATCCCCGAGGATGTGCAGAACTTGTGGTCCTGTATAGCCACCTTGCCTGATACCAACGTTTCCTTTGCTCCAGTACGGCATGATGTACCACCTGCAGATGGGAGTGAGTTCAAGCCTTATGCATCAAATCACCTCAATAGTCCATGTACTCACCTGAATCTACAACACATGATCATTAAGCACAGGAGCTGAGGCACTCGATAGATATGCGGTCGCAGCTTCAACTTGAGGTCGTTGCTGACTTCACCCCAGGGGGTGTTCTTACTCATGTCATACACCTGGCCCTGCACACCTTCCAAAGCAGCCAGTTCTTTGTTGCAGGAAGCCGCACCATCGTCAGGACGCAGGGCTGGCTCTGGAGACTCGGTACCGGGAGCCTTACGAGCCTTGGCAGCCTTCTTAGATTTCGCCTTTGGTTTGCTCTTCGGCTTCGGAGTTGCACTGGGCTCAGGCTCCATTGTCTTTCTCTTCCTGATGCTGTCCGATGCCTTTCGGCAAAACTGCTGCCCAATACTGCCTGTTCCACCTCGACCCCTGCCCTTGCCTTTCCCCTTGCCTCTGCCCTTCCCTTTGGCCTTTCCTCTGCCCTTGCCTCTCCCCCTTGCAGTGCCTTCCTTCTCATGCTGTGCGCTCCTGCACCATTTGGCTTTGTGTTCATCTGACACCTCCTTTTGCATCGCCCGTGTCAGCGGGGTCTTGAAATCAAACGCACTGGCTAGCGCAGGTAGCTTCGCAGCAGCTTCAATAGCAAGAGACCGTGTCAAGTCAGCATGACGGGCTGCAATGTCCTGGATGCAAGGAGGCTCACCATGAGCAGGCTTCAAAGAGATGCCACGCATTAGCACTCTGGGAGACTTGGTAGAGGGTCTCGGTTCAGGATTGGCAGAGGCCCCATCTGCTGCCGTCAAATCCTGCGAAAAGGCGAGATCACTTGCGAGCAGCTATACTCAGGTTTTGCACAATACAAAAAGCCAAGAAGCCTCTAAAGTGCCGGTGGACAAGCTCAGACTGCTGCTAGAGGATCCATTCCAGCCCAAAGGTGGCTGGGCATCATGTGGCCACCTTCATAGGCTGATATTCTCACCTATGCCTCATGCGACCTTCTGCTCATGATAAGATCTTGAGCTCCCAACTCTTTGGGTGAGGTGCATGAGGGCAGTGGAAGATAGGCCTGCAAGTTTGTCAAGCATGGTTTTGGCTATTGCACACAGAAGTCAGAACCAGCACAAGCTGAAGCTAGGATCTTGCAACCAAGCACCTTCACAGGGCATGGTGTAGCCAGATCGATAAAAGTTCGCAGTGGCGATTGCTTAGTTCAGCAAGCATACAAATACCGAAGACAGTGCACTGCTCGGTTTTGTCGAGGTGGACATGTATAACCCCATTCTTAATGACTCTAAAAGAAAAAGAAACACATGGTAGACACTGGGGCACAGATGTATCGGTAGGACTGGTCTGTGTCTCCACATTGTCAGCCGCTGCAACCAAGGATACACCCCGTCGCATGGTCTTGCGCGAGAGCTTCTCCATCATTCGACGTCGGAGCTCACCTGAGTATACATGGAGGCCAGGTGGCTTGCAAGGGATGCTCCACTTGTTCTACACACAAAGACATCCATGTTGATGCAGAGGCACATTTCACCCGGTCTGCAGCAGAAAGTTTCATTGGCTTCGGAGATAGCATGACAAGATCTTCAGAGTCAGACTCATCCAAGCTCACAAATGCCTTCCCCATCCTTTTCATGGGTGTAGCTACATCCCGCAAAGCCTGCAAATCCAACAATCCGATCAGCTGCTGCTGCTCCCTCTGCTGAGGCATGACATCTGGAAGCTCACTGGGCTTCTGCAAAGCCTCAGGGCCAACGAGCTCCTGACATGCTGCATACATAAGAAAAAGTCACAGGGGTGAAACACAGTAGTTTAATATAGTGTTTGATTTGATAACAAGTCTCCTTTGGATCCTGTGGTGGGGGGGCTGCAGTAGCAATCTCAAGCACATCCGTAGGTGACAAATCACCTGAGGAAGACGACCTCAAGCTAGAATCAGTGTCATCCGCTAGCGGCACCGGCTTGTCCACATCACCATCCACATCATCTGGTTCACCTGATGGCTTGCTCTTCTTGCCCTTCTTGCAGCCACCCTTCTTGTGCATGTACCGCAGTACAAACTCAGGTTGAGGATGCACAGCAGCCAGTTCCACAGGGGGTGTTGTTTTGTGGCTGGTCCTGAAAGCCTAGGCTACCACGAAATGGCAAACAATCCAGCACGATCACGTTAGAAGCAAGCGCATGCAAGGTCTGAATCTGCAGGTCTCAGTTGCTTCAGTAAGCAACATAACTTCCTGAACTCGCTGTGTTGGAGCACGCTCAGCCAATCGCTTCACATACCGTAGCATCTTTTTCAGAATCGAAGCAATCCTTGACTGTGCACCACGAGCCGGGCATGGCACCTGAGATATCGATATAAACCATCATCCCATGCAGAAAACGAAGCATGCAAACATATTTGAAGCACCCACAGCATCTACACATTTATTTGCTCCCAAAGTGACACTGCAGCCTCTGAACAGCTGTGTTACCATTGGAACCAGGACAGGGACCGTAGCCACAACATCAGCCTGAGCAAATATCTTCACCAGCGGTAGCAGAAGATCCTGACGAAGGCAGTAACAAGCTCACACAGACCACCATGCAGCACAGAAACAAAGCCCCAACATGATCTACTTGAGCACAGATTCTTTATTCATCGATAGCATTTCCTCAGAAATCGCCTCGACTTCTGTAACTTCATGTGGCATCAGAAGAACCTTCTTGGTTTCCTTGATGAGTGCTTTCAGGGTTGTCATAGCGAGGATCTCCTGCACTTGCAGAAAATTAGCTCTGGCATGTACAAGGTTGTCAGGGACAAGCAGACAGCATCTCCTTAAAAGCAGTCACCATAAGTGGCACCAGCGCTGGATTCCAGCCATCAGGAAACGTTGGGTTATAAACATCAGCCATTGCAACAAACAGCTGAGAAGCTTGAGCCTTCCAAGAATCAGGGCAACTTTCAGCTCTCATTCAATGCAGCCTGCCCGGTCTGCAGAGCAACAGGCACTTTGAGCCCCCAGCCACATTCGAAGGCCCACCGCAGAAAACTAACATTTCACTTCGATCCATAAGAGGATGTCGCGACACTCACAACAGCATCTGCATCGTCATGCCCAAGTATATCTGGACATGCAGGAAATGTTTGGTTAAACCAATTATAATAGGGTAACCAATAAAAGGGGTAGGGTATAAGGCTACCGGTAAACCCTCAGCCCTAACCCAAAATAGACTTATACAAAGAAGCCATATTAGGGAACCCTAAACAGGTAGGTTCTTTGGGGTCCATTTGAGCGCTAAGCAAACCCTCTGTTTTGCAGGAATGAGTCGACAAGGGGCGACCTTCTACCCGCCTCCGGCGGATGAAACTGCCGTGCTCTGCTACCAGTACACGGGAGGCCTGGAGAAAGGACTCCTTGGGCTTAGGGTTT